ATTCTTAATATGTAGTTTATATATTCTCATTATATGATTAATAAAGAGCTAGAGGAAAGACCTCGTTTAACAAAAAAAAAAAAAAAAAAAAAAAACCCCCGTTCCAAATGAAAAATTCAGAGGGTTGGTATGATACAAACATTTGGTCAGTTGTCATCGATTTCGCTTTTAATGATGTTAGATGATTACAAATAATTAGGTATAAATTTTATATTACTATTACGATTTCATTTTGAATTTCTAAAGTCATATTTAATTTACAGGAAAGATTCTTCTAGTATTTCTGTTGCCAAAAGAAAGAATCGGAAGCGAGTTCGATTAGAAAAGGCAAAAATAGAACGCAAACTGGATGGTATTTTCCGTATTTATGATGACATAGAATATGGAGGAATAGAAGTTCAGAGTTTGTTTACTCAAATTAATTCAACCGAACGGCTTAACGATGGATTTAAGTTGGGCAAGTCAATGCATGATATGTTAGCTTGTTTAACTTAATTAGTCAATAAAAATAAAAAAAGATCCGAAAATTGCAAGTTGTCGGGTTGCAACATTCTGGTATGTAAATTTTGTCGTGTAAACTATTTATTAATATAGTTTTATTAATAAAAGAATTTCTTAAATTACAAGTTCATCAATTGTCGTCTCCTAAAGGATACGTGTCAATTCTCAAAAGAGGTGAAATTTATGAAATTCCAACACAAGCAAAAAAAAATAATGGATTTAATAATGCTTCTATCAGCTGTCTGGAAAGTAAAGGTACAAACCGTTCTTATTTGATTTATAAATTTTGCACCTATATTATAGACAGATATACTGTCGTTATTTTATCGTTATTCTATAAAACCGGTTTGATATGACGTTCACATTTAGCAACTAAACGACAATATACCTATATACATTAATAATATACTCTATTTAATTCTAGAAAACGATAATTAATTGTATGGAGATTATACAAGAAGAGCCGGAAAATTCTACTGAAGATGAATTTGTACAGAAGTTAGTTAATGGTTCAACTACACCACCACATACTATATCTTTTCCGTGGTCGTTTGATACGTAAATTTTAGCTAACATTTAAGGGAATAAATTCGATAATAAAATTTTATTAGCTTATAAAACTTTATACATATACGTAGTAATCTTAAATTTGCAAAATTAAATTATTTGTTTGATTTATTGATTCTCGTGATCCGCCACTTTACCTTCTTTACTCAAAGCAGAAAAGATCATCGTAAAAAATTTTATGTGGGATCTTTGCTACGTATGAAAGTGACCTTCCGAGACTATTTGGATTTATGAATAAACTTTAAATTTTCTAGCGATCCAATGAATAAACTTTTTTTTTTTTATTTCATAGAGCCTAGTGAACTCTATGAAATCAAAAAAAGTTTATTCAAATTGGATTACTGGATCGCTAGAAAATTTAAAGTTTATTCATAAATCCACATAGCCTCGGAAGGTCATTTTCATAGCAAAGATCCCATATCTGCGCATGCCCCAAAATTTTTTTATCGAATTTGTAAGATTTTTAATTTAAATTCAATGTTTGATTCCACTATACATGTGTGCCTAAATTATTTTTGAAAAAAAGTATTTTCGGCAAACATTTCGGCATTGCTAAATTTTTTATATGAAACCCTCCAAAATAACTATACTATATGATGTATTTTGATGAAATAAGTTCAAAAAATTTCGACAATAATTTCGGCAAATATGAAAATTAATTTCGGCACTATATAAGACTAATTTCGCCGTAATTACTTTTTTTATTAAGATAGGCAATTTTAGGCACACATGTATAGATTCCACAATTAGAAGCATGTATGTAAACTTTATTTCTAGTCAGGAACGGAGTAAAACGAAGTGTATGGTTTACTGACAAGTTAAGTGGAGTGAGCAATTCCTGGTATCTGAATAGACGATCGTACCTCGTGATTATGTCTTAAGATTTCTGTATTTGCTAGAGACACCGGACAGATGCAATCACATAATAGACACATAAAATGCGACCAATTTTTACTAAATTTAGGTAGTTTATGTTGCATTATGTGATAAATTTTAAGTGAATAATATTTGCACTTTAGTACGTATAATTTAAATCAACATATGTTAATTTAAAATCCCGAGAAATCATTAATTGACATGTAACATATACATTTAGTCCATTTCGGTTTTTGAATTTATAACCGGCTCACGACCTCTATCCTCTATTCTAATAACAATTTGATTATTAGTACACTCTTGTATTAAATTTTTGAAATTTTATTAAACTAATAAATAAAGTAAATTAAACAACACACTATTTAAAACAAAATATATTTTGTACTAATTAATAAAAATAATATCTTTTATGTATGTATGTATGTATATATATATATATATTATAAGTTAAAAAATTTTTAATAAAATAAATATGTAAATTAGCAATGATTGATTTGAAATATTTCACATTCTTCGATATTAAACTCTTTATCAGAAATAATATAATCATAGTACTCAGGTTGACAAGTACATTTCATTTTATATAAGTCAATAACTAAATCTTTAATACCAAATCTTGGTCCAACCGATAAATAAGAATTATTTAAATTATCAAAATTATGAACATTATGCATTCTACTAACAATACTATCATTAAAATTTGGAGCACCATTTTTAAATAAAAATAAAAAACTTTTATCGATTGTTGGTGTACCAGATGATAAAAAATCAAGATCTAATCCATTTGGAGCGAATCCACCAATAATTGTATTTGAACCTTGAACTTTTGCCACTACTAAAGTATTAGGACGATTAATACAAAGATCTTTGTAATCTTTAATAGAAATTTTCGTATCTTTATCTTGAGAAGTGATACGATATAATAAAACGAATTTACGAGATATCGCTTTTTGTTTAATAGATTTATTACGTTTGTATTTCCTAAAACTAAATATTCGATTTAAAGTTTTACGTTTTTTTATAGATACCAATTTTTGACGGTTATCTATCCATTTCAAAATAAAGTCTGAATGATAATGATTTATTAAAGTTGAATCATCAAGGTAGACACGTCGAAAGATATCGTTGTATTTCGATTTAACATCTTTATCAAGATAATGTTGTAATGCTCTACTATCCAAATTTTGAGGGATAATTCTACTAAATGGAATAATTTTTCCATAAAAGTCGTTTCTGGAGATTCGATCATAATTTATATAAATTATAACGTTTTTCACAGCATCTTTAAGTAAGGTCCAATCTTGAAAAGACCATAGAGGAATATCCCGTTTTAAAGCTTGGTTTTGTCGAGTTCCCCATGAAATTATAATATCCCAAGCGATACCTTGATTCATAAAAAAACCAATATCACTTAGAAGCATGGCAAGACATGACTCTTTAAGTTCACCGAAATCATTAGAATTTAATAGATATGAGGGATTGGAGCAAATTTTGGAAATAAGATGATTTTGGATTGTTTCGGAAGTTTCACCACTATCATCAATGAAAATACTATTGAGAATTTTCACTAAATTTTCTTGTAACCATGTTGAATTGCTTTCTATTATGTTACGTTGTAATTCGTTTCGTATATCATTAAGACCAAAATGTTCAGCGACTTTAATGAGATTTATAAAAAGTGTACCATCCAATGTGCTCAAGTCGAAGTCACGTTTATAAAGCAATCTGTTAATAAGAGTTAAATTTTTTATAAATATAAGATTGTAAAAAAAAAAAAAAAAAAAAAAAACTTTCAAAAATATCTTTTCAAATATAATATATACCTGAGCAATATTCGAAAAGTGCTTGGAATGATTGTAGGTTCTTCAAGAAGAATTGAATTACCATCCTTCGTAATATAATTGTGAGATAAAGCAGTTCGAAAATATTTTGATTGTTCTATTAAAACATCCGAATTACAATAAAAATCTTCAATATTAGGGGCTTGACCAACTCTTATTGTAACATCATATTCAGTACGAGAATAATATTCAGGAAATGAATCAACAATTAGAGATAAACGTTCGTGACCATTTTTTTGGAGAAAATCTAATAAGTCTAATGAAAGACGGCTTAATGTTTCTAAACTTGAATCCATAATAAAATCCATAACAAAAAAAAAATAAAAAAAAAACCAAGACAAACTACAAACCATTAATTTATATTTATTTTATGAACTCGGTTAAATTTTATGATTCGCCTCTTTATGGCAATATTAATATCAGGAATTTCGTTCTATCTTTAGTAAAAATATGGAGATAGTATGACCAGAATTAACTTTAAAATTATTATACTTTTAATACAATGATAAAAATATTTTTCAGCTGGCACAGATAAATAATTGTTATACCTTATTGCATTATCTCTTTATTAAATATTAACACACATCCTAATATTGTATTATTAAAATTTTGATATAATACAGTTATGTAAAATTTCGTAATAAAAACTTTTATAATAATCACACATAACGGCTGTGTGATTATAGGGGTTGTTTTCCTGGTCTTTGTAGCATATTTATTGCATTTGAGTAATTATTAAATAGTATCACAATTTTTTGATGATTGCATATGAGTGCATATGAGTGCTTGATTCTATAAAAATATTTATTTTATGATTTGATGATGTATTATTGTAGAATAATGAACCATCTTGTGTCTTTATTTTAATTGCATTATTAAAAATTGACAATTTTATTTAAACAAAGGTTACATTTTACTAATTTAGCTTGATTATCCGTCATTTTTATTACGTATTATTTCCGTTAACGTTAAGCTTTTATGGATGACACAATAAGATTTCGGAAACAAGTGCCCCCTGCATGTCCAAAAATAAGATTCTATAACTATAAAACTATAGTTAGATTTATTATTAATATATTTTTTTTAAAAAAAAGAAAAAAATCTTTTTTTAAAGAATAGTTGGCATAATTAATTTAATACAAAATCCACTATCTTTTGTCCCGGGTCCGTTACTAATTGCATAAACATGTTGCGCAATGTCGAAATGTGCGGCAAGGTTATTATATGGTTGGTTGATCGAAATCAACATTTTAAACTTAAGGTTAGAAGAAGACATTAAGCAGAATATATACCAAAAACTACTAAATAAAAAATTTTTCTTAGAACGCAAGAACGGTTTCATAGGCACAATTGGCAATTAATACTCTTAATTACCACATGTTACCATATGTTGCCACATCGCGTCATTTTCACGTGATAACTATAACAGATTCGTTTATGTTAAAGTTTTTTATATCAGTATTAGGTTTAGGTATTAGAAGGTTACCGTACCGAAATTAAGCATCCTTTTTTGTTATAACAGATGGTTAATTTCGAGTGCTCTTTTTTTTTTTTAAGTCCAGATAAACTTTATCGTTATGATGTGATGTAAATGAATATATCAAAATTATGAACATTGGCGATTATTAGCTTTATTTATTATTGCCGTAAATTGTAATTATTTAATTAATAATTAATATTTAATATTTTAAATTCTTAAAAAATGTCAATAAGAAAGCAAAGAGTAAAACTAATATAAAACGTGAAGGGTGCTTATTTTTGGATACTATACATAACGTGGTGGTCTTAATTTCGAGAGTACTTGATTTCGGAGCGGTACTTTTATTCGGTGAATTGCTTAATGAAAAACTTTTTGTTACGTAGATAACAGAAGTTGCAAATTTTTGATAAATAGACGATTTTTGACAAAACTAACGCTAACATTTGTTTGAATTTTTGATCACCTGATTTTGTAATGTAATGAGGGAGAGCGAACTTAATTAACCGTCGTAATGCGTCCAATTTAGCTCCATCAGTAGACATGGAGAATGGTCTTCTTGGTAAATATTCTTTTTAACCGTCTTTCACGTGATAACTACTGTCTTTCACGTGATAACTATTCTCGTTACTTCAATATACGACGTCACGGGATTCGAGTTACGATAGACTTCGTTTCGGTCTCAATACCTACTGCCTTTCACTATCGAGGTTACAAGTCAAATCTTAAATAATCAAAATGGAAGTGTCATAGTTTATTTATAACAAGAGCACTGTTTTTTATTTAACAAGCGATTATAAGGAAAGAATTAATAATGTGTGGATAATTAGGTAAGGCGAATACTTTAGGGAATTTATGAAATTTGATATCTTTATTAAAAGGAAAAAGTAATCACTTACTGTAAATACATTCTTTTAATTAGGCGGTGTTGAATGACACCGTGACACCGTACCACTGAGCGGTGTTAAATCAACAAATGATCATAATAATTTCTAATTAATATCGCACGATCTAATTTAAGGAAATTTTATCCCTATTCTATTTTTATCTACTCTATATAGCATCCAGAAAATGTGTATCAAGTTGTTGGCCATAGTAGCTGAATGCTTTAACATTTTCAAAAATTAGTGTCGGAAATGATTTAAACATTGATCTTGCCATTTTTATCGTAAAAATGCAGCAAATGTAAATTACAGGTTTGACCGTGAAAGCTTAAAATTTTTTTTTTGCTTCATTTTATATAATAAGGGGTTTCAAAATTAAAAATCATATACATATTTCGAAAGAAATAAGAGATGTATTTGTTTCAAAATAAGCAATCTATAAATTCTATTTTATATTAAATGTAACCTTATTTTATATTATTATACAGTATTATATTATCAACGACACTTTTACAGTTGTTAATTCTTTTTAACTACATCAAAAAAGTTTACATATTTCATTTTCCGATATCAAAATCTTAAAGTATAAATATATTTTTTAAATCCCTACTTATTTTTTAAACCCCTACTTATTTTTGAAACACTTTAATTTTGAAACCCCCTAATATCTAGGATTTCAATAATCTTTGTATTCACGGATCCGAATCATTATTATAAAGTACGTAATTTGTTCAACAAAAATTCTTCTCAAGTACAAGTGGTTCGAAGTTCAAACAAGAATTATATTCGAAGGAAATTTAGTAATATTATTAAATTATAACATAAAAAAAAAACACGAAAGTCAAATTAAATGTTGTAATATACTGGTATTATTCAAATATTAGAAACTTGTTAAGAATTCGAAGTTTTAACTAACGTTAATGGTGGTTTCAAAATTAGTAATTCGGCATCTGATTTCGAATGTCAAAATAAATGACTTGCAAAGTATATTTCAATTTTAGTTGTATGTTTATTTGTAACTGATTTATAATCCCGACGCTTCAAATTTAAAAATACAAATAAGATTTTTTAAACTCCACTTTATTTTTGAAATAAGTTAATTTTGAAACACCCTAATATAAAATAATCGGCATATTTAAACTATGGCGCAACAGCCTGATGCAAATGCAAATTAATTCCTTGAAGCATTTCAACACATAATATTTGCGCAACAACGCCCTATTTTCTAAAAGAATGCATGTTATACTTTGACATTCACTGAGACTCTCCATCCAGTGACAAAAAAAAAAAAAAAAGAGTAAGCCCAGTGGCAACTTATCAGTAGAATTACCAAATTTTTCCAATTAGTTCCAGTAACATTCCAGTCAGCAATATTGGTAAATAGTAACGGTAATAATTAATTCCTTGATTTCTCACACGATAAAAAACGTCATTTAGCTCATCATTTAAAGCATAGTATAAAATAAGGGGGCTGGTATTCGTACCCCCTAAATTTGGTATTCGTACTCCCTAGCGCTAGCAAAAAAATAAAATTTTTTAAAAATGATATCTCGATGACCACCTAATCAAATTCAATGAACTTTTTTTTATTTCAATTCTATGAATTCATAGAATTTAAATAAAAAAGAATTCATTGAAATTAATCAGATGGTTATCGAGATATCTTCGCTCAAATTTAAAAAAAAACAAAACATCTATCAAAATAGAAGTTGCATCAAAATTTTTTTTAAAACGATATCTCGATAACCAACTGATCAAATTCAATGAATTTTTTTTATTTGAATTCTATGGTTTTATAGAATTCAAATAAAAAAATTCATCGAATTCAGTCAGATGATTGTCGAGATATCTTTGCTAAAAGTTTTAAAAAAATTTTGGCACAGCTTCTATTTTGATAGATATTTTGTTTTTTTTAAAAATTTGAGCGAAAATATCTCGATAATCAACTGACCAAATTCAATGAATTTTTTTTTATTTGAATTCTATGGTTTTATAGAATTCAAATAAAAAAAATTCATCGAATTCAGTCAGGTGGTTGTTGAGATATCTTAGCTCAGTTTTAAAAAAATTTTAACACAGTTTCTATTTTGATAGACATTTTGTTTTTTTTTTAAATTTGAGCAAAAATATCTTGATAACCAACTGACCAAATTCAATGAATTTTTTTATTTGAATTCTATGATTTTATAGAATTCAAATAAACAAACTTCATCGAATTCAGTCAGGTGATTGTCAAGATATCTTTGCTTAAAGTTTTAAAAAAAATTTCAGTACAGTTTCTATTTTGATAGATATTTTGTTTTTTTTTTTAAATTTGAGTAAAGATATCTCAATAACTATCTGATCAATTTAATGAATTCTTTTTTATTTAAATTCTATGAATTCATAGAATTCAAATAAAAAAAATTTATCGAATTTAGTCAAATAGTTATCAAGATATCTTCATTCAAAGTTTAATAAAACTTTAGCACAGCTTTTATTTTGATAGGTAGTTTGTTTTTTTTAACTTTAAGTGAAGATATCTCAATAACTACTTGATTAATTTTGATAATTTTTAATTATTTGAATTCTATAAATTTATAGAATTGAAATAATAAAAAAAGTTTATTAAATTTGATTAGGTTGTCATTATGATATCTTTATTTGAACCTTTAAAAAAGTTTATTTTTTGCTAGGAGTACAAATATCAAATTTAGAGAACAATTAAAGCTATGTACCTTAGAGTTAGTTTTTTTGATGCAGTTAATAGTTTTATTTATATATAGATATCAAGAATAGAATTTATGCAATATATAAATCTATATGTAAAGATATATGGTTTTAATCGATCTCCAAATTTAAAGACTAAATACTAAATTTTAATTGGCTAATATTTTAAAATTTTATTATGTTTTTAAAAATTTTATTAAATTTTTAAAATTCTATTATATTTTTTATATATATGTAA